AAATATTTTTGAAATCGGTGCCAGCAGATAAAAAGCAAAGCAAACCGACTTCAAAAATATTTGATTAGGTATGTAAAGTAAATGAAACTACCAATCAATTATTTTTTACGTTTTAGTGCTTTTTTTAAGTCGGTTTTTATTTTTTTGTTAAATTTTTTTATGTTAACAGTTCTACCCAGTTATAGTATTAAAACTTACTCTCAACAGAATGAATATTATTTAAATAAAACTAAGTATAAGTAATTCAATAGCAGCAGTTTGAAATAAGCTACTTTAATAAGTATATTGTCATTCCCATATATAAGATACAGGCCAATGAGCACAAGGTTGAGAACAATAGATGGGCCACAAAATCTATAATATAAAGAACGCGATGAAAATCTATTCAACCATAAATGAAATGAGACCCTCGCCTCACTAAGAAACCCGCTTAGAATATTAAACGTTAACTTTTTTGTGCATGGCAGTAGCAGGTGTTTATGATGCGGTCTGTTCCCGAAATTGTAATGAAACCCTCATGTTGTAACATCATTCAACTTGTATTTTGAGGGACACTAGCTTTCTCTCTTAATTTTAGTTACACGAAATTATAAGTTATAAAAGAAGATAACAAAAATAATAAAACTTTAGAGTTTACTTAATAAATTCTTACTTTTTAGACCGTAAACATAACAGCAGATAAGAAAAGTAACATGTGCGCATACAAAAGAACTGCGAGAGACACACGGCACACGACCTCGAACCTGTGACCCTAGTCACAATACAACCTATTGTTAAGTAAGTATATGAATTGTGCTATGCAGGTACATATTTGTGTTCCATTTATAAATACATCAGTGGAATAGATGCAAAAGCAACCTGAGTTGATAACCTTTATTGTACTGTATTCTGTTAAATATTGCACTTAACAAGGAAATGTCGATTGGGTAAATTACTTTTTTCCTTGCTTGAGATGAAAATATGTTTAGAAATATCTAAGAATCTCCGACAAAACTTCTAAATTCAACTACATTTAATTTTCTTTTATAGTTCATATCATCTATGAAAGGAATAATAGGTACCTATGTCATGATATTCATATCGGATAAAATGCTTTATAACAACATGTAGTAGGTACATTTCGGTATATAATTTTCAGTTTTCCCACAAAAGGGTTCCGTAGTTGCCCATCACAATAATGCGGACTAAGAAGAAGGGCTTTTTGTTGTTTCATATCATAAACATTTAACGTCAACGGTTTCGGCGGCTCATAATGCCAAGTGCATCTTGTAAGTTGTTGGTCGACTATTCGTAAACTTGTACAGACTACTTTAGCTGTGATAGTTTCCCTTTTAACTTCCTAATATACCTATGCTACTACCGTGATTTTTTTCAAATATCCAAAAACAACCATTTAGCTGGCGACGACAGTCGACTCTAACAAAAAAATTAGCACTTTAAAGTATAATATTTTAGAAACGGATACCTTAAACATAAACATTCCCACTTTACGTGTAGAGAAGGTAACCAGCAGACCAAAATACAGCTTTCTAGTACTAAGTTTTTGAGCTAAGCTGTGACGAGACGGACAGACGGACGGACCGACAAGGCAAAACTATAAGGGGTTCCTTATTGACTAACGGAACCCTAAAAAGACAAAGTGCAAAGTATTAAGCCATTACATTATCTAAATATACATATACAAAACTTGTTAATGTTTACATGAAAATCACGTTACCAAAGCCAAATATTTCCTTTTTGAATTAGATAATACTTAAACGTTAAGTAGATCGCTAAACAAGTTATTTATATGTAAAGATCACGGGATTTATATTCTTCATCCAAACAAATACGTAGCCTCTTAATGACTTAAGTATTAACAAGTCGAGCTATAGGTATTATATGGTAAGTTTCATTATGCATATCATCTGAGATTTATAAGTCGGCGAGTGGAGCCCTGACCTAACGACGCGGCCAACCAATTGTTCCTCTCCACTTGGTGAGAAACACCAATTATAGCGTAAATTTAATTTTATCACCAATGTCAGACATGTATATATCTAATATTTCCATTTCTTTATTGATGTACCATATAAAAGTAGTAAAAAAGCTAGGAAAATTGTTTACTTAGGACAACGTATCTCTTTAAGGAGATCTCTTCCAAAATCCGATTATATAAAATCCATTTTATCAATAAATATGTGGTGTAAGTACTAAGTACCTACATGTTCTTAATTCTTAATAATTCCATGTTCGTTATACAATATTATATATAAATAAATGTAATACAATATGTACATGAGATATGCTATTTACTTATATCGAAAGAGAAAAGAAGTGTTTCTTCAATTATAATTTAAAAACAATATATGATCTAGTATATATCTTTCCACATAATATAATGCACAACAAAGGATGACTCCAAATGAAATGGGATCCAACGCAGAAGAAAGATAAAGACGAAAATACTTTACTTGGTAGACAAGACTTTCCTAAAATTATCTTGGGAGATTTCGGCAGTAAATAAAAACCGAGATAGCAAGTAAAATATTTACTTTTCGCGTTCATTTTGGTTTCATTAAGACTTTGAAGGAGTGGAAGACGGTTTTTACAGCTTTATAAAGTATAATGCCGTCGGCCGAACAGATTAATTTATACGATGCGATAAAATCTGAATACTGTCAACCCATACATTAGGTCCTGTCAGCGATACCAGGTAAAGAACGACACATCAAAATTAGAAATTAAAGTCCATGTTTAATTACCGCTAAGAAGTTTCACTATACTTGTACTCTTTAGAAATTCAAGCTCACGGACTGGCATTTTTATTCACATCGTTTAGAAGCGATAAACAATAGAACAAATAATATGATTATCATTTCAAGTAATTTAAAAGCAAAGAATGAATATAGTTGTGAATTCGTCGTTTTCTTTTTGGAATTATAATATATTTTCATAATACTTTCGCGTAAAAGTCACAAGTTTGTTAATTATAAAGTATACAAAAATAACAATATTCCTATCATACAAACAACACTGTAATTTTCTCCGAAACGATTTAAGTCCGTCGACTTAAGTAGCAATTATTCTTCTACAAATTATACAGTAGTTAAGTATCTATACAAAACAGCATAACTTGTTAAGAAATGTTGTGTACAAGTATCTTCCAGAACATAGTTGTATAGAAAAGTGTAAAATATGAAGAAACCTTCTATATGGGAAAAAGAAAACCAGTGAAATACCTACAGACATACCTACAAAAACTAGACTAATGGTCATAATATAAATTTGTTTAATTGTTAACAAAGTTTTGTTTAGTACGAATTGATCCAAAAAGGCACAAAACAGTAACAGAGTTCTAATAATAGAATCGATTGGCTAGACAAGGCCTTCCTTTGACCATAACATATTATTGTTGAGTCAATGCTAACAGTTTCTAAATGACACTAAAATTCAAGAAATAATTTGCATCAGCTTAAATGGGAAACGTAACAAAATAATATCAAAAACAAATGATAATGAATTCAAAACAAAGCAAAATCGGTCAAATATTGCTAGTGTTAAATTAATTAAAGGATTTTGGTTAATTTAACACTACCAAAATTTGACTGATAAGTATTGAAACGTAGGTCAAAAAATGCCACGTAAACAATAATTTACTTAGTAAGTAGTACTGCATTAATCATAAATACTAAATACAAATTGGCCGAAAAGATGGGATGTCAACTATAGTATCTCTAGAATTTTGCGGTAATGCCAAAATTTAAAAACCTATTAGTGTCTAAAATTGGGAGTAAGGCAAGTAATAATTTTTCATATCCAATCTATTTACATCCGGTAGAGTCGATGACCTGATCGAAGAGGCACCTGCTCCTTCGATTAACATCTGACGCCTAGCGGATGCGTTGTCAAGGTTGGGTTGTCGAGTTTCAATCAATTACTGTCCTGTGATTTCCGACAAGAAAGACGAGCTTAGCACCTGGCACTTAGTGCCTCATAGTAGGTAGTAAGTTGTATTTATACAAGAGAGGAATAACAACAATGTTGAGTGTTGTTGTTGTTGATTGAATGATTTATAAAACTATTAGTTTTACAGTTTAGATAAAATATCAGAAAAAACCTGCAAAATACAACTTAAAACCACTCACACCTCATACAATGAGCAATGCACAACACGATATACAAAATTCGCGGTAACTGCACATTACTAAAGCTAAAGACGACCAGACGTTGTATAAATTCATGAGTCAGTTCCTTATTTCTGACCTTCGCTTTATTCATCTTTTGTTATAAAACAAATTTTAAAATGTAGAAGATTTATTTACAAGTCTTTAACATAACGAGTTAGCTACAGAATGTTATCAATAGCATTTACCAGTTTTATGAGGATATAAAGGGCGGTTTCAATTATATACAATTAATAAATTAAATAGGTCTTTACGAGGCTGCTTAAAGCCGCTAAACATAAATACCAATATAGCAAGTAGTCAACTGATTTCACTACTTAATAAGTAGGTATGAAAGTTTCTCTTTGAAACATTATCACTTCAAATAACTTTATCCTAACAGAAAATTATAATGGCTTTCTAATATTTAAAATTATCAATTTCAAAGTATTGTATCAGTTAAATTTCAACATACATTATTGCATGATTGTAATGAGTTACCTAAGCAAACCTTCGGTTGCACTTGATGTATAGTATCGAGTTTATGTAACTAACAAGATAGAACACGCGCAGAGGGTTAGAAACACCATAAGTGCGGTTTTCTGCGTCGGAGTGTAAGAAAAACCCGCATTTTAATTAAGAAATACGAACCCTCAACATGTTGTTTAAATTCATTGATCATACTCTACGTTATAGGTGCATCGTGAATTTAAATTATGTAGTATTATTTTAGAAAACAAAGAAGAATTTTGCAAAATAATGTCTAAAATAACAAAGGTAATATGGACATAAATAAGATAAAATTCTAAGTGTAAATCACACATAGAATAGTGAAAGATATATTGCTTATATTACCTTCAGAGATCGTGGGCAGCACGTTGACGAAGTTAACAATCCCGACGCCTGTTAGCTGACTCATTCACAAAATCAATTCAGCACTTCTAAGAAACGTCTGCGGACTGTATCCGCTACGAATACAACAAAAGCCTCAATAGCGGTAGCACTTCAATATCACATAGCCCACATAGATAAATCCGCCATTTTTCGGCACTTTAGATTTATATCATCACACATGCGTATCAAGAGAACTGCGAGACGTGAAACCGTTACAATAAAAACGTGGTGCGGTCACTGAGCACTTTTTCTCATAAGCAAGAGAAATGTGAACTATCACATGAGTGCGACCTAGATTATTTATATAAAAGATGCGCGCGCGCCGTCCTCTCGCAATGAAGCGCAGGGGCCTACTGACTACTGAGTAGAGTGAGTACTGGACAAACGAGTCGGCAAACGCCCGTTCGCTAGTTTACCTACTCTTATCTCTCGATGACAGTGTATTCGCCTGGTTACTCGACACTGCACTTACTCAACTGGTTCCCTACATATTGAAACTACCATATACAAACATAGGCATAGAATGCATATTTAACATTTATTTTTAGGAGAACAATTGAGGAAAAAATGGAATCAAAGATCTTTAGGTGCGTGTTTAAAAAATCCTAGTTTGTTTTGACACATACATATTTGATTGATAGAGTTGAAATTATCTTAAAAAATTCTAAGTACCTAGCAGTGAAATTCAAAAGTAGGCGGTTGTTAAGCCGCAGTGCATCGTAGAGCACGTAAAGCCGTTGGTCCTGCCTGATCTCTTTAAACTCGTGTCGATTTACCGTCTCATCCAACTACAAGAGCAAAGAATAAGAGTGCACGATAAAGATACTGTTATCTAGAGTCTACAAATCGAAGGAAGTAAAATCTTCCCTAAGCTTTGAAAACAAAGCTCTCCTTTTCCCAAATATAAACACTAAAGTTACAGATACTAAATAGGTTTATGAATGAATAAGATCATAAGTTTTTAAATTTCAATATATAGGACCGAGTTCATTTCATACAAAGTATCTCGTTACAACTTAGTCTTGCCTTAAATGACAAATTATAACTGAGTAAAAAGCTTTATTATTCAAGCGTAATTTGAACAAATCTTTTTAAACACCACTTTCAATAAGAGATTATAAATGAACAGAGACTATTAAATAAATTCAATATTTTTCTTTGTACATAAAAGACGAAAATCGAAATAAACATACAAATCTCAAAACAATTGTATGCCTACAGAAATAAAATCGAAAAACAAAAAATAAAACTATAGCTTCGCTCAGGTATAGATTTTATTAATTATAATTATAGTAGCTATGTGATACTCCAGATCATATTCTTTAATCCAAATCCATCCAGCCGTTTCAGCATGCAGGAGCAACAAACAAACACACATATTGACGACACGTTTGGCTCAGTTTGTAGTGACCGTCGCGGGTTCGAGTCCCGTTGTTTATTTGTGTGATGAGCACGAATGTTTGTACTCCAATAATGGGTGTTTACATTTATAATATGTATGTATTTAAAGTTATGTACGTGTAGCGTATCAACTATCTGGTATCCATAACACAAGCCTAGCCTATACCAGTAGTACCATGGAAGTAGACGGTGCTGTGTTAATTTCGTTTTTATAACAGTAGTGTATTATCGTTTCATTATTACTCAATATAAAATTCCGACATCAGTTTCTTTATTTTTATATAATTATTTTAGTATATATATTGTTAAAATATACATACTAAAATAATTATATAAGTATTGAATTTTATCAGGCAACAATTATTATTGTTGCCTGTTAAAATTCAGTACTCGACAAGTTTATTGTCATTAAATAAGATAACCCAAATTTGTAATTATTGTTTATTCAAGTCACTTTCATATGAAAACAAGATTATACGCAATCTATACGGTATAAATATCAAAATATTATGATTATTAATCAAGTTTACGTCATATTGCGAAATATAATTTTAATAAATTTTGCATTTGTGTTTACAAAATATTGCAATAATAACATTATTTGTGAGTCTCGTCATAAATATAGGTATATTTGTTTCAAGAATTCATTTTTATGTCATATTCATGTTTTTTACTTTGTCTCACTCCACTCTACGTGACACTGGCAAAGTAAACTGTGCTCAATTTTCCAAACATAAAATAAAGAATTGAATTCTGTTTTGATACAAACACTAGTTGTCTTTAACTTTGTTTGCTTAGATTATTATTAATATATAATTTTTGCTCCGCTCTTTAGAGTATTTTTTGAAACCTGTCTGGTGGTTTCAGAGGTTAGCGCGTAAAACAAACAAAAATAAACAAATTCTTTTCTTTTATAATATTAGTAGGTATATATACACAAAAAAAACACATATCTGCTCTCTTGAAGGCCAGTTATGTACTCTACAAACCTGGTAGACTCTCAAAGAGAAAACTAGTTTTAATTTCATCCATGAACAAGTACCTACCTTAAAAATATAAACTAAACTTATGTGTGCCAAAGGTTTTACAAATAAATGTTTTATAGAAGATAACACACCTTGGAGAGTATTGTGATCGCCTCCAAGCTATTTCAATTTTGGATTCTTGAAATTTATAATTTTATTTATACATAGAATAATAAAAACAATAAAAACAAAAAATAAAATAAAAATAAAATAAGTAAATTCATGACTCAGTGTGACGATGGAAATTTTTGTTATTAATTATATTTCATCAAATTTTATTTTATTGATTAATTATTATGTGACATTTAAAATAATTTAATTTACAACAATTATCATTATTTTGTTAACTAATAACTAAATTTAATCATAATTTTATTTTAACTCTTCTTTTTATTATTGCGCACGTTGTGATTGTCTGTAATTGGAAAAACATTTAATCATTATAATTATAGCATTTGTATATTATATTGGCATGTAATAATGTATTTTCTGTTGACGATCCTAAATAAATAAATAAAATAAATAAATAAATAAAAATAATAATTTCTTTCCGCTGGTTCTTGTAAGGCTGAGGTTTTTTTCTGTCCTAACTTGTGGTAAATTCCCGACGTTTACTGCTCTTTGAGTTTCACAATAATTAAATATACATATAAATCAATGATGATGTATGTTAATAAATAGCGCCAAACGTTATGTCATATAGTCTTATTATTTATCCGCCAATATTAATTCAAATGGTAGAGTCACATTGTTGTATTTAGAAAGTGCACAATTTTTATATACAATAAATATTTTTATTAAATAACAAACAGCACTTAAATTATCGTGTTTTACTTTCACATACCTAAGTGCTATAAAAATTGAATGGGCTCTAAAACAGAAATCTATACATATAATAAAATTTTAACTAAGCCGAATCTGTACATTAAATATTTTTTGGAAAATCTTATTGAAATAGATATTATTATCGACACAGACCGAATCTATAGTTTTTAGAATTTTTGTCTGTCTGTCTGTTACCGCATCACGGAAAAACCGCTGGAGGGATTTTGGTGAAATTTTATATGATGATAGCTGGTTATCCAAGTCAACATATAGGATACTTTTTACCGCGGGAAAATATCTCATTTCTGAGATAAACTGCAATGTTCTTACGTTGCATGTATACTAATATGTAAAACCTAAGAATTTGGTTTTTGGTCATCTGAACGCAGGCAGAGCCGCGGGCCATGCTAGTGAATAAATATAAATATTAATAACCTATACATTTTGTATCCAAAAGCTGATATAATTATAAAACAATTTATAATATTTTCCGTAGTGTTATTTTGGAAGTTCAGGAAACTATGATCGTACGGAATAACTTGTTTGTACAACAAAATTAATTATTATAATTACCGATGTTGCATTTGTGCCTTTCGCTAAGTAACTGCAGTCACAATAAATGCTGTATAATTACAAAAGAGAGTGCGTACCTCGGTGTTTTAATGTGCCATTCGTCGTTTCATTTAAAATGAAAACGCTATCAACTTTATAAATAATTGACATGGGAATCGATCAATATGGCCGACTGATAAATTGTACTGAATATCTAATTCGATCGATTTTGTAATAGATGGAAATACGATGCGTTTGGAAACTGTAACCTAATTGATTGAAAAACTATTACGATAGAAAATATGAATATAATATGTGAAAAATTTATAAATTGAAGAATAACTATGATTTTCCGCCAATCAAATATTATATGCATAGCAATAGTGTCTAGACTCGAATTAAATGACTGTTACATCGAATTAATAACTGTATTTGAAGTAATAATTGTATTTGAAGCTCTTATTTTATCTTGTTATTTGTTAAGCAAATAAAATAAAAAATGTTAAATATATTAGTATAGATTTCTCAGAGATGAGATATTTTTCCGCAGAAAAAAGTATAGTAACGTTGATCCGGATAACCAGCTATGATCATACGAAATTTCATCAAAATCAGTCCAGTGGTTTTCTCGTGATACGTTCCCAGACAGACTGACAGGTAGACAGACAAAAATTCTAAAAACTATAGAGATTCGGCCTCTGTATCGATAATAATGACTATTTCAATAAGATTTTCCAAACAATATTTAATGTAGATAGATTCGAATCGGTTAGAATTTTATTATATATATATAGATTACCTACTATTACCTTAGAAAATTTAATATATTTAATATTTCTTATTTATACGCTGTAGCGTAGAAAGAAAAAGTGTTTGTCTTTTTCATTTGTTCTTGTGTGTAGGAAAATGTTTTAATAAACATGTAACACGTACATTAAATAATACGTCACTCTACAGACCCAATCGAGTCGTTATCGTACATTGAGGTTAAAGTTACTATATATACACAAGTGAGAGCTAATTTTAGATTGTAAGGAAATAAATAAATAATAAATAAATATGTTGGGACATTAACATACAGCACCATCTAGTTCCATGGTACGCTACGAGGCTTTTGTTATGGATATCAGATAGTTGATACACAACACATATATAAGTTTAAATACACATAAATATAAACCCATGACTGGGAACAAACATTCGGTGCTCATCACACAAATGA